GTTGGTTAACTGTTGAATTTTGGCGACGCGATTGCCTACGAATTGTTGTAACTGATTAGGATCCTTTTGTATCCAACATACTACTATCTGAGAGTCGGACCAATAGTATATCGGTACTGACGGTGAACTGGCATTGACAACTTGGGCTGTTAATTGTGCTCCCAGTAGGGCAGCACATAACTCTAATCTGGGAATTGTGAGTCGCTTTAATGGTGTAACTTTACTTTTAGAGCAAATTAAATGACTTTGATAACTGCCACTTGCATTTATGCTTCGGAAATATATACAGCTTGCATAAGCATCTTGAGATGCATCGCAGAAACAATGAATGTCTACTATGGAATGATTGGATCCAAGAACATGCCTAGGAATCTCTAATTGATTGAGTTGGGACAATTGATTGTAAAATTGTGTCCATTTAATATAAATGTCATGTGGAACCTTTTCGTCCCAATTTAGTTTGAGGGTCCATAATTTCTGAATTATGAGTTTAGAAAGTACAATTACTGGGGAGAGAAGACCAAGAGGATCCCAGATCTGTGAAATGATAGATAATATCTTTCTTTTAGTAATAGAATTATCGTGTAGAATTGAAGATATTTTAAAATTTAGAATGTCTTTGTTACTATTAAATTGTACACCTAAGGTTTTACAGCTTTCGTGTTCACCGAAATTTAAAATTTCATTCGGAATATCGCAACATGGAATGTTCATGAGAACACTCTGATTATTTGTAACCCATTTTCTTAGTATGAATTGTGCTGATTTTAATATGTCTGAAATATCTTTACATCGAGCTTGTAATTCTGAAAGGTCATTAGAACCCGTTACTAGGTCATCAACATAGAAATCATTAAGAATTGTCTGTGAAGCTGTGGGTAATGTATTACAGTGATCGATTGCTAATTGATTTATGCATTTTATTGCTAAGTATGGCGAACTAGTACAACCGTACGTAACGGTGTTTAATTGGTAAATTGAAAATTCATCTGCTTGGTTGTCCCTCCACAAGATCTGTTGAAGGGGCTTGTGTGCATCATGTATAAGGATCTGCCTATACATTTTACTAACGTCAGCAGACACGACATACTTGTATAGTCGGAACCTAATTAAAATGTCAAATATGTTATTTTGCACCTTTGGTCCAACATATTGTAACTCATTGAGAGACCATCCAGAACTACTTGGACTTGATCCATCGAAGACCACTCTAAGTTGAGTAGTCAGACTACTAGGCTTGTATATGCCATGGTGGGGAAAGAAATAAGTTGGTTCAGTGACCATGTCACTTTCCACCCTGGTCATGTGACCTAAATCGATATATTCATGTATAAAATTTTTGTATAATTGATAAAATTGAGGATGAGTTTTGAATCGGTTTTCGAGTGATATGAATCGTTGTTTTGCTATTGTTTTTGAATCTCCCAATAAATCAGTAGAATATTTAAAGGGCAACTTCACTACAAACAGCCCGTTTTCATTTCTTTGAGTGTGTTTGGTAAACAGTTCTTCACACTGGACGTCATCTTTTGATAACATCATAGGTTCATTTATCTCATTGAGTTCCCAAAATTTACGTAACTGATTGTCTTCTGGTATAAAGCATTGTGAAAAATTGCATAACGACGTTGATGTCGCATTCATTACAGTACCAGATATTACCCATCCAAGTTTGGTATTTTGAAGCACTGGTGCATGTTTTCCTAATTTAATATTGCCCTCTAACAGCAGTTCCCAGAACAAACTGGCACCTATGATCATGTCAACGTTCTGAGGAGTATTGAAAGTAGGATCAGACAAATCTATATTTTGAGGAATGGAAATTGTAGAGATATCAAATTGTTGTAACGGAATAGTTGAAATAAATGGTGTTACATAACAAGATAATTGAAATTGGAAATTATTTTTGTTTGAGAAAATTGTAATTGAAGTTTTCTTTTTTAAGGAAGAAACCACTTGGTTAATACCAATAATAGCTAAATTGGTATTGGTTAATGGTAACCCTAACCGTTTAACAAACTCTTCGGTAATTAAATGGGATTGGGCTCCTGAATCTAGCAGAGCTCTACATTGATGCAATTGATTGTTTTGGTCTTTAACTTTGAATGTTACTGTCGACAGAATTATATTAGATTGTGTATTTCTGTCTGTAACTAAACATTGTTGATTTGGGACTGAAATTGTTTGAATATTGTGAGAAATTGTTTGTGAATTGTGTGACACCTGGTCACTATTATTTGGATGATTATGAGCACCTACTGATTGAATTGTGTCTCGTGAATTGTATTGATTGTTGTTGTTGTATGCATTTGACTGTGTGTTTTGACTTTGATATGAACGAGAATAATCTTGATGTAATAAAGTGTTGTGTTTACGTTTACACTTACGACATGATCCGCTACTGCACCTTTCCTTGGAGTGACCAAAACGTAAACAATTCGGACAAACTTTTAAAGATTTAATTTTTTCCCATCTGTCATTAATTGTTAATCTTAAAAATTCGGGCAAGAATATATTAAATGATCACTCTTGCACAAATTGCACTGAACTTGATTTATTGATAAATGAAATTGTCATCGAGATTGTAGAGGTTTCTGAAACCCAGAGTGACTTTTGACGGTCATCACTGAGGAGGAATGAGGCTCTTCTTGAGATTGTAATATGTCTTGTCTCTGTTTCAGGAATTCAAGAAATTCATTTAAGTGAGGCAATTCTACTGAAGTGTGATATTCTTTCCACTTATTTTGAGCTATTTTGTCTAATTTATTGTACACAACATGAATAATTGTCATATCCCATAGAGACTCTTTAGTGAGCTTCATTCCTTCTAAATATGACAAATGCTTTGAAACTTCATCGATTAACCCTCTGAATTGCATGAATGTGCCTTTATGTATCGAATTTAAATTGAAAATAGATTTTAAGTGGGTGTCGACTAGAAGCTTTTTTCGATCGAATTTGTCACAAAGCATATTCCATGCAGCATGGTAGTCTTGGGAATCAGTAAAACCCTCTATTGTTCGTTTGGCATAACCTTCCAACGCAGCCTTTAAAAAGTTAAACTTTTGACCTCCACTTAATGATGAATTGGAATCGATAGTGTTTATAAAATTGGTTTTGAATTCGAGCCACTGCTCATATTCACCATTAAATGTAGGAAGCTTAATTTTAGGCAAAAGAAAATTTTGAAGTGGATCGTGATTACTTATATTTTGAGGTGTGACATTTATTACCGGAGAAGAATTGCTGTTTATGTATTCCTCTAAATATGAAATTGCTGTATAAAAATGATTTTCAAATGGATCACGTTCATTAAAATGACTTTCTAATTGATCGTCCGAACATTTCTCCTCGATAGATTGTTGAATAATTTCAAATTGACTTAACAATTCACGATTATTTTTGTATCGCAAATTTACATCGCCTATTGTCGGTTTAAGTGACCCATCAATTATTTTATTTACAAAATTTGTTAATGAAGTTAATTTGCGTTTAAGAGAACCTCTATTTCTTATTAATTGTGCAATATCTGAGTTCGACATTATTTATTTTATTTTATTTATTTATTTTTTTTTTATTAAAATGTTCGTAAATAATAAACTAAATCTGACGAAGTTATAATACCATGCAAATTCAATATCGAAAGTCTGAAATACCAGAATCTATAAATAGCACTGCGATAAGGGTAGGATTTATCTTAAGATGGTATATAAGTGGAACAGACTTACATTCAGGTCATCAGGGATGCGCGTCTGCAATCGCTCAGCAAATTGGCCACAGGAACACCGCTTCGTGTTTGTCAACTTTCTTCTGACTCGCTGTCTCGTTCTCTGATGGGTTGAAACGCACAGATGCACTCGTTGCTTTACTTTTAATAAATTGATTATTCCAAATTGAAATTGTTACAATTTACCACCGGATTCGGCTACGAATGACCAAAAAATGTATGTTTAAATTGATGATTTAAATTGACTGGTCGCTGGTTAATCGTGGTGGTAAATATTTGATCGATAGGGTGAAGAAATAACTTGTAAAACCAAATCTCTTCACACGTTCTTTATTGAGTGCTCTTATGGCAACATATGGAAACATACTGATCTTATAACTTTATAACGACTTTGCCGAGGGCTGACAGGGTTGCCGTCGAGACAATTAAATCTTATTGCTAGGAATTATACATAGAAAAGAAATATATTGAAATAATTTTAAACAAATGCTTTGCAGACGTTTACTTCTAAACCTTCTTCCACTGAAAGAAAATATTTAAAATTATTTGTGCGTTTCGAGTTTCCAGTTTTCAAGGTATCTTTTCGTTTCGGAAATTTTGTGGTACATTTGAATATAAATAACCACTGTTGATCTTTTGATAGGGTCCAGTATTATTTATTAATAGATTCCCGTCGAGTTTTTGATATTTTTCTATGGCAGTTCATTGGACATTTACAGACTTCCTTAACATTGTGATTGTCGATATAAATTTTAATTTTTTTCGCTTGTCATTCACTAGGCTTTTCTTCGAATTTTCTCCTCTTTTTAATCCATCTCTTTTTCGTGAACAACTTACTTTCTGATGTATGGATTGCCTTTTTTACAGCATCTTTTAGAATAGTAACAATAAAATTATAATCCAAAGTGGTGGCATACTATTTGATAAGAAATCTTCCTGCGCTATTGTAGCTTTCGTTTGCATAGATTCCTTGTTTTCAGTGTTTGCAGGCCTCACTATTATTATGTCTGATATTATGTTGATTTTTGAAGTCGTTTTATTGTTCTTCAATAAGTGTTGAAAATGATTCGTCTTCTATTCCACTAGTCTCAGTCTCTTCAGATTCACCTTTTTCAGGTATGTAGTTATTATCTTTTGTTACACACCTTGGTTTTTTAGTCTTCTGTCTGATTACACTTATTTTTTCTGAAAATGACTCGTCTTTTATTTCGCTAGTCTCAGTCTCTTCAGATTCACCTTCATCAGGTATATAGTCATTATCTTTAAAGTCGTTTTATTGTTCTTCAATAAGTGTTGAAAATGATTCGTCTTCTATTCTACTAGTCTCAGTCTCTTCAGATTCACCTTTTTCAGGTATGTAGTTATTATCTTTTGTTACACACCTTGGTTTTTTAGTCTTCTGTCTGATTACACTTATTTTTTCTGAAAATGACTCGTCTTTTATTTCGCTAGTCTCAGTCTCTTCAGATTCACCTTCATCAGGTATATAGTCATTATCTTTCGTTACACACCTTGGCTTTTTAGTCTTCTGTCTGATTACACTTATTTTTTCTTGTAGGATTTTTTTTAACGCAGCCTGAACCATTCTCTTGGAACGACTAGCAGTTCTGCAATTTCTAAAACAAAAATGAAACATAAAATCTGAAATAAACAAATACATATTTATTTAAAACTTAAATTAAAAAACTAATTCTACAAAGTCACTCGCAACCAGTTTAAAAATAAGTTACACGTATCTATAAATGTTATTCACGTAAAAAAATCAGTATTTATGTATTTTTCTGCTCAAATAAACACATGAACTTTTATCACGTTTTTCATTCAGAAATATCTAAAGTAGGCAATTGCTTAATAGTATGTACTTACTCAGTATCCATTGTAATTTTTTAAATATATTGCCTCTTTCAATTTACTGTTTTTAAAACTAACAATACCAATGATATTTCAAACCGATACACGTCAAACTGCACAGTCAAAAGTTATTCCCTACTGGGGTTTAAGGTTATATTGTTGAGTCACGTGTTGCAAACGTCATTGTCATATCTGCATATATCAGCCAACTTCGGACATACTCGTCTAGCAATATTACTTTAGGACAATTTTATTTGGTATTTGATTAACTTTTGTTGGTTAGGACAAAATAAATATGGCAATTTTGAATCGTTGCCTGTCAGTTACGGCTTTTTGATGTAGTAAATATAATAAGTTTTAAACTAAGAGTCCAGTGAGACAAAAACCTGAAAATCCGAATTTTTGCAGATATGACCTTTTGTCTTACTAGGGTAGTAAATAGGCCAGTAAAGAAAGACAAATTAAAAAAGATGAAAAAATCTTATACAGGTATTTGAAGGTACCAAAAGTTATATGAGGGGTAGCCGATAAAAAATCCGTGAAGATGTCTAGCTAATTTGCTTTGTTTTTTTAACAATCATAAAAATTGAAAAAGTCATTTTGTGCCTATAAAATTTTCTTATACATTTTAGAGAAAAATAATTCAAATAAAAGTTTTAGATCTTAAAATGTTCTTTAAAAGAGTTTCTAAATTAAAATTCAAACACAATTGACTAAGATTAATGCAAAAAACCTTCCTTTTTGCAGTAATTTATAATTATTAATATATTTTTTTGCATAATGACATAATAACTACTTGAAATTATGGCAATTAATGAGTTATTGGAGCTTGAAAAATCTCAGTTAGATCGACCAAATAGTTTATAAGTTATTCAATTAGGTTATTCCGGAGAGCGAATATTTAAATAACTGTACTTCCCCAAACAGTAGAGGTATCCCAATCGATTCTTCGAGGCTTAAATTTTAAGATTTCACTACTTTATCAAAATTGTTTTTAAAAAACAGTTTGAAAACGAGCTGACTTTTAGCTTATACGCATTTATAATAACTTGATATTTTTTATGTCATTCACTTGTAAGTTGACTCACTGAAAAAAGCTTGTGAAAAAACAGAATATTAAAAAAAACCTTCTATGACCAAGATGCCATTTTTTCTCTTAAAATCATATATTCACTGTTCCATTAAGAGCTGAGCGAAGAAGACTTCAAAAAATCAAGTGGTGGATATTAAAAGTTGAGAAAGAAGATACAGTACTATAGTTTATTTTTATGAACGAGAGAGTAATTAGCATAATTTTAACTGGTACCTCCGACCACTCCATGGTCAAGATTAATTGAAAAATTACTTTGAATAATTGTAAAAAATAAATGAATTATTTCAGTGTTATAAAGTGTTATGTGTATGTAAACAAAAGTGACCTCTTTTATCACACACTATATTAGAACTGACTGGCCTACATTAAAAAGGGTTTTAAAAAATTCACATTTTTTTTAATTTTTAAAAATTACAAAAGAGAAAAAGAGTTTTTAAAACCGTCTAAGGTATGTTAAATAGATGAATAAAAATATTAATATAAAACTTACAGCTACTTGTTACAAATCCAAATCAGATTCAGAAGATGAACTTTCAGAACCAAGATTTATAATAACTGGCTCGATCATTTTATCAGTAATATTGTCCAGCTTCCACATTTTTTCCTCTTCTTTAATAGTGTGATTTACTGCCTTTTCCCAGTTTTCAGGTTTTACATTATTTACGGCCTCCAAAAACAACTGTTTAACATCATGAATTTTAAAAGTGGTATTTTTTCTTGAAACTTCACTCTTTATCTGTGCCCATACCAGTTCAATCGGGTTTAATTCACAATGATATGGTGGGGATCTAAGTACTGTCATACCACGATTTTTGGCAATTTCATCAATTTCGTATTTTTTAAATTTTTTTTTATGAAGGGCACACAACGAATAAAGTTCCTTTCTTATAGATCCGGGATGGTACGTAATATTTTTTGAACTCAGCCAACTCTGCAAGTCTTTTTTTAACCACTTGGTTGTGGGCAGTCCTTCTATAAGTCTGGAGTAATAACTTGCATTATCCATTACTATTACACAGTTTTTAGGAAGAAGATCTATCATTTGTTCGAACAATTCTTGAAAGACATCAGCGTTCATGTCTTCATGGTAGTCACCGGTACGAGTTGATTCAAAAGTTAATAAACCACCTTCAACAAAACCATCTGAACTGCCAATGTGTACTATTATCAGAATGCGTCCCTTTCCTGATGGTGGGTTTAAACCAGTAGATAAGTTATTTACAAAAGCGTGCCTTTGACTTGTAACAGTTTCATCCTGCCAAAATTTATTTGGTGTATGACCCTCGTTGATCCATGTTTCATCAAGATAAAATATTTTTCTTTTTTGGTTTCTCATTTCCTTTATGGTTCTTAGAAAATGTCTTCTCCATATGACAATATCGCTTCTTTCTAATAAAATAGACTTTCTGGGATTCTTTTTCCAGCGGAAGCCTATTTCTTTTAAAAGTTTCCATAACGTACTTCGACTCATTTCTGGGTAATCCTTATCATCTCGAACTCAGACAAGAACTTTATCCAATGTTGGAAATTCTTGTCTAAAGAAGAATTCATGCACTTTCCGTCGAAGTCCTTCTTTAAAATGATATTCTATTTGAAATTTTGGTTTCCCTGGAGCATTACGTGGCATTTGAAAACTACCACATTTCTCTTCTTTAATAACTCTGTAAATCGTAGATTTCCCAACACCAAGTGTACTGCTAACTAACTCAACGGTCTCATCCACACTTTCACATAAACGTTTGTCTGTAAATGATTTAAAACAATTAAATATTAATGTTTTTTCATTAACTGTTAAAGGACCAATTTTTCGGCGTTTACACGGCACTTCCAAATTTTCCATAACACTAGTATACACAATAAACTGCACCTTGCAACTAAAGTACCTACTTTTAGTGAACTGTTAAGAATTTTGAATACGCCACTTGGACCTTCCTACAAAATGGAAAAACCCACTATCACATTTTCTGTGGAATAAGTTTAGAAGGTAATTATCTAGTCAATTACTGTCGTAGATTCCTGGAATTAAAGAATTAAATGTTTGATTGTTGAAACCCTTACTTTCGTGAAATGCACTCATTTCAGATAAAATAAAACGTTTTATTTTATCTAAAGAATTAAACTTTATTTTGCAAATAGGTAGGTACTTATTAAACTTTTATTGGTTATATATAAACATCTTACATTTCTTGCAAATTCATTAGTAACTGTTATCCTCCATCACTCCGACACTGGCAACCTTATTTAGGGATTAGTAACCCTCACAACTATTGTATTCTATTCTGCTCCAACCTTTATACCTGGTGGTCATACTCAATTTAAAATTGTTTTCCTATATACTTCTGTAAACTTGTTGACAAATATCTGTTTTTCATTGAGTCACCCGTATCAACAGTTTAGGGATTTGCATACATAATTTATTGTTTTATTACTCTCTCATACATAAAAATACACTATAATTGCTCATAACGAAGATTACCTACAAAGGGAGCTCCACACCTTCAATATCACAGCAAACAAACTTAATATGATAATATCAGTAGAAAAAAACTAAATTGATAGTGATCAGTAAAGAGCCGCGTAAATGCAAACTAGAAATAGACGGCAAAACTGTAGAACAAGTAATGAAATTCAATTGCCTAGGAGTAGAGATCACTAGTGACAAGGATATAAGAACAGAGACCACAAGGCAAGCATCAAAAGCGGCAAGAGTAAGTGGTTGACTCCGAGAAACTATATGGAGAAACAAATATCTGACCACGGAAAGCAAAATGAAAGTATACAAGACAACAGTAAGACCAATCCTAACATATGCAGCGGAGACAAGGACCGATACAATAAAGACGAAATAACAAATCAACAATATCGAAATGAAAGTATTAAGGTCAATAGCGGGCATATCATTAAGAGACAGACAAACCAACAGAAATATACGCGAACAATGCAAAATTCAAAATATTAACAGGTGGATAAAAACAAGAAAAAAAAAACTGGAACGAACTTGTAAACCGAACCGGACCAGATAGATTAGCGAACATCTGTAAAAACAACAAACCGTATAGTAGAAGACCCGTTGGAAGGCCGCCAGAAACGTGGAAAAATAATGTACAGTCAACAACGACTAAAACAGAATAAGAGGCAGACAAACACGAGTAATCCTATTCGCATGAAGACGAAGAAGAAGAAGAAAGAAAGTCTCTAAAGGTCGATTTATACATATCCGTGCCGTGTTATAACAGTGCCCGGCAAACAAAAAACACTAATGTACCCATTTCAGGACTTAAAATATTTTAAATCGTCTTTTGATTTTTTTAGGAATACATTTGAAATTGACATAATTCAAGGTCAGCCCAGTATAATTGTGACCGAAAAACATCTGGAGAATTATACGGGCTTTACACCAACAATAAATTCACGAAGAAATTCATAAATTTATTCATCAATTTCTGTGTCAATAAATTCGTGAATTTCTTGGAAAGAAAAGTTTCTTTGACTTCAAATAATTTTTTATATCAAGTGCCATTATTCCAGTAGTACCAATGGTTTTATTATTGGATGTTATTTATTGTTGTTTGTTTGAATAAATATATATTTGGATTTGGACATACAGATAGAACGAAATAAATTCGGAACATAGGAATATAATGTATTTCGGCTCAATTCTGCTGTAGCTGGTTGGCCAACAAAAGATTGTCAAATAATTATATTATAAAAAATCCCATACTTCAGCGGGTTGCTGGATTCTGAACTCATAAAAATTGAAAGCTACACATAAATCTACGATTTTATTATGCTGTCAAACCAGTTATAGTCCAGGAAATGTAGCATTTCAAATCGCAATTTTTTCGTGTGGCGTGGATTGACTTGAAATTTAACAGAAGGTAGGTAATAGCCTAAGGATCAAAATCTATATCGAACCAAAGTGCGCCAAAGCCT